GTTCTGCTCAAGGTAGTCAAAACAGCAAGATGTCTGTAGTCCATCCGGTGTATAGCGGCCTGCAAATATTGAATAACCGATTGCGAGAGAGAGTGAGAGACCGTAGTTCTCAATTATTTTGGTATCATCTACGTAAGCATTAGCAGGTCCTTTCTCTACCTTCAAAGGATAACCCTAAAGTTCGGATTTTTTCCTGTTATGCACTGCATTTCTTGCAATGCCAGCAACGCTAGCCTATCGACCTCGTCCCAGAATAGCATAGTAGTCAACGAAGCTGTTAATCCCACGCTTAAGGTTAGCGGAAATTCTGACTCTGACCCTTGTTGGATGCCTCCCTACCAACCGCAATGATACTGTATCATTGTTGCTGTCGCACATCGGCAAGATAGGCAACCTGCCTCTCATCGGGTTGAAATACGAAAGCCCCTCCCCACAATTGGTCATATTTCCCCTCATGACTAACATTCACCAAAAATGCTAACGTGCCACAAATTACACACCGTTGTTTTAATTGTATCAGGGTTTCTTGGTGCGGATCCTAGATAGGAATGGTGTGCTGGTGCGCCCTTGAAGTGCTCCCTACATTGTTACTGCTTATATCTTCCCCGGTCATGCTGTAGGGTCGTTGAACAGTAAAATGGATTACAAACGCTATGCACCTATCTTCCCACTTTATCTAAACATGCGCACTTGGTGTGGTGTTTAACGATCCTGTCGCGTGTTATCTTCTCAGAAAAGAATTCCAGTTGGCGTCTTCCACAGTACAGTCCACGATTTCGTAGCCAAGTCAGCTTCATGTTACCAAAGATGCTAATACGCTTGTTGAAGGCTGTATTGCATCTTCCTGAGAACACATTCAGCCGATCGTGTACTTATGGTAAAATGCAGTAAAAAAAAGGTTGCAAGTATAGTATAGATGCCACACAGACCAACAAAATATTCGTAAAGTAAGAAGTATAATAAACTTGTGGGTTTCTTCGTCATTAGGTACACATGAAGAAGGAAACATGCGCTAGAGTCTCTCGTGAACACTAAATTTTACGGTGCGGCGTGAGTATATTTTCCAACAAAACCTTCTTTTAGTTCAAAAAAATGGCAAATTTAAAAAAGGGTGCTCATTTTGATTCCCAATATCCAAGTGTTTCTCTGGTTCAGTAAACTATTCGCCAAACAACATCAAAGAAGATTTCTATAAAAAAACCGCGACCGTACACTTCGTGATCATTGGACTTAAACAGATGTACCGGCTATATTAGTCATTAACGGATTTTTGAGGTGCATAATGTTCTATTGAAAATTTATAAGCAAAAATTATTGTGGTCAGCCATTTCATCGCCCGACTGTTCCGCCAAGCAACAAATTAGCCTCGCGAAGGAAGCCCACGTGTCTGTCAGCCAATAAAGAT